GGGGCTGCTCTCTGGGCCACAAGAGCCACTGACCTGAGTGCCGTCTCAGCTCTTCTCTTGTGCACTTGACCCTCTTAATGTTACTTCTTGGACCTCTTGTCCTCCGTGAAGCTGGGCCCAAGGCCCAGGGAGCTCCAGGCTTACAATCCTCTTGGCTAAAGGAGAGAGTGCTCTTCTCTGGCAGAAAGACGTCAGATCCGAGGTGGAGCCTGCCTGGCCAGCCGAGCCATGTGCCCATCTTTGGCCCACGCACGGTGCAGGATGGTGGTTCAGTCAGAGTGAAATAATGGTGTGGGGCAGGCATCTGACTGCCTCTGACTTCCCCAGGAGGAAGGAGAATCGGGATCAACAGTCCAAGGCTGATGTTTACGCACCGGAGGTCAGACATGCCTCCTCTCGCCAGCCTTTTTACCAATCGAGACACCAGCCACCCCCCTATAGCACTGTCTAGTACTCTGCTGGCTGTGACAATTCATTGCATTGACCACACACAACTTCAACAATACTCACAATTTTAAGTAAAGTTTACTAGAGAAGTAAGAGATTGTAATTCAGGATCTGGAATGAATCGAAACACAGTTCTTAAGTCAGGACCGCCTCTTTTTAGGTGTGCCCACAGGCCTCTTTCTGTCCCCTCGGCCCAGCTTCCGGCCTGCTTGGGCGAGTGTCACGAAGCTTTTCCCTCCACCAGTAAGTGCCCAGAGGCGCACCACGCTGCCAGTGTGCCTTCAGTCAAAGGCACCAAGTTCTCTCTCGTTCTGTGGGTCGCGGCCGGGGGAGTCTGGCTTTGCCAGGTGCCCAGAGGCACCCCCTCCACCAGTAAGGTCCTTGTCCAAAGCTGCCCGGCTCTGTCTTGTCCCGTGGTCAGCAAGCACACCTCACTCCACCTGTGAGCCTCCTGCCTGAATGGGCTCAGCGCCCTCCGTGGCTGGGGACGCCCATCGTCCTGGCTCCTCCCAGCAGGTCTCCTGGTCCTGGGGCCTCTGCTGCTGCCGTTTCTTTGCCACTGCTTCTCGCCATCTGTCACTGTCTCTGGTATCAACAGTCCTCTCTCCCTTGGATCTCAGAGGGTCCTAGCACAGGGATCCCAGGTCTAACAGACACGCTCCGCTCCTAGCTCTTCTTTCTCTGTGGTGGTCAGGTGTCCTCTCTGCTCGATTCTCTCTCCGTTTATCTCTTCTAAGATAAAAGGTGACTCAGGCAAGCTTGGTGACTGGGGTGCACCCCATCCCAGTCCTGCCTTAACATCAAACATAACCCAGTCCTCATTAATGTAACGTAACTCTGCGTCATTAACAGAGAGAGGCTGGGATTTACAACATCCACAACAGAGGACCATTACATCAGATCGCAGAATGGAGGGCGACCACACAACACTGGGAATCATGGCCTGGCCAGGGTGACGCCTAACCCCAGTCATCACAAGTCCATACACGTTACTCACGTGGTCTCAGACTATCACCGTGGGGGTGCGGTGCAGTGAGTGAGGGGGTATGCTCTCCTGGCCGTGGTCTTTGTGGTTCCCACCAGATGACTGGGGGGACTATGCAAATGTGAGGGGCTTGTGGCCCACCAAGGGGGTTGGACAGCTTGTTCATAATGTAAATGAGAAACATGGTGCCCTTGTGGGTGTAAAACCCCAAAAGCAAACTCACTGTCATTGAGTCGGATCTGACTCGTAGTGACCTCCTTGGGTTTCTGAGGCAGTATCACTTCAGAAGTAGATTGCCCCATCTTCCTTCCGAGGAGTGGCTTGTGGATTTGAACTGCCAGCCTTCTGGTTAGCAGTTAAATGCCTAGGGCACTATGCCACCAGAGCTCCTAGGAGTGGCTACCAGCCATTCCTCGGGAGGAAGGTTGGGCAATCTACTTCTGTAGTGATACCGCCTCAGGAACCCAAGGAAGGGTCGCTATGAGTAGGATCCGACTCGATGGCAGTGAGGTTGTTTTTTTTTTTTGAGGCTTACATGAGCCATTCCAGAGGCGGAAAGGGAGCCCTCACCGCCGTTAAGAAAGAAGAGCCAGGAATGGAGCGCGTCCTTTGGACCTGAGATCCCCGCACTAAAGCTCAGTCTAGGAGAGAGCTGTGGCGCAGAGATGACAAGCAATGGCAGAGAAACGGCGGCAGCAGAACCAAGAGGTCGGCGCAAGCAGTGGGCCCCCAGCCCGCTCGGGGAAGCCGAGTCCTGTGGGCGCGGGGCGTGCGGTGGAGCGGGCGCTTCTCCGGGCGTGGACCAGCGGGGCTGGAAGAGCTGTGTGACACTCGCCCAAGCAGGGCAGAGGCCGGGCCGAGGGTCTAGGGCCAGAGAGAGACCTGCCTTCGGGCCTGGCGGAGGAGAGGCTGTCGTATTTGAAGAGCTGTATCCTGAGCATTCCCGATCCTCAACTGTAACCTAGTCTATCATAAACTCCGTATCCGTCAGTGTTGTCTGTGAGTTCTGCGTGGCCATTGCAATGAATTGTCCAACCCGGCAGAGATGCAGAGTGGGCCGTGGACAGGACTGTTAGTCTCAGGGTGTGAAAGGGTTGAGGGTGCAGCACGTCTGGCTTCTGCCTCACGGGAACCGGCCTGTGACCGCCAGTACTGCTCTCGCCCCTCCTTCCCACCGTGGGAAGTCAGAGGAGGTCATGCGTCCCCCATCCCACTTTGCCTGGAGTCTCCGAGACTCCCACCAGAAGGACCGTATTAAGAGATTCACTGCGCCACACGCAGTCACGTGACCACCATCCCACTTTGCCTGGAGTCTCCGAGACTCCCACCAGAAGGACCGTATTAAGAGATTCACTGCGCCACATGCAGTCACGTGACCACCTCTGTGGCCCAGGGAGCAGGGCATGCAGTGGGAATCTGTCACCCAGGACTGTGTGATTGGGGTGGAGGGGGTTGGTTCTGAGGGTGTCTGGGGAGTTGTGGGGCAGGGAGGAGGAATTTAGGATGGCGTTGTGAGTGGGGTGACGTTGGGTTGGCTTCAGGGCTACCTGGGAGCGACTGTGAGTAAGAGTGAGGGTTTCCACAGGTAACTTTGGTGATGCAGTGGGGGTGGTTTTGAGGATGTCTGTAGCAGACTTTTGGGGTGTCTGTCGTGCTGCTGATGAGTGTCAGTGGAGATAGCTCTGGAGGCTTTAGGGGTGACCGTGTGGTGTCTGCTGGGCTGCCCAGTGGTGGTGATCTGGAGTGTGTGGGGATGACGGGTATGTGGGGGGTGACGGTGTGGTGTCTGCTGGGCTGTGGGCCCGTGCCAGCCCCCCTCCTGCTCCTCCCAGTTCTCATCCACCTGGGCGCCGGCTTCATGATGCTGGCGCTGGGCCTGTGCCTGCTCCTCGTGCCCTGCATGGGCTTCTCCTTCCGGCCCTCCTTCCGCCGCCTCGCCAAGATGGACCTCATCTTCAGTTTCCTCAGCGTAAGCATTGGTGAGTGTGCGCCCGGGGGACAGGCCCTCCCCGCCCCAGCGTCTCTGCCTGCCCTTCTCTGACTTTGGGGAGGTGCCCCCCGTCTGTCTCTGTGTCTTGGGATCTCTGCCCCACCTGCTGTGGGAGGCTGTCAGTCCTCTGTTCGGTCTCTGGCGGGGGGTGTGAGCGCACGCGCATGTGGAGGGCGGGGGCGGGGGCGGCCTCCCTCCCTGGGCCTCTCCTCTCCAGCTATCGTTCAGTCTGTACCAGGGCTGGGGCGCGTCTGTCCGCTTGTCCCCGAGGGTGCGAGGGCCCGTTTCTTTCTCTCCCCTCTTTCTGGGGGTTCCCGGGGTCCCTGTCCGGCCTCCTGCCCCCCTCCGGCCCCACCCCAGTGCAGGGCTTCTCATTTTCCTCAGCCTGATGCTCTTCACCATCAACTGCCACAAGCTGCGCCCCAAGCCACAGGTGTCCTACCTGGTGACGTTCTACCTGTGCTGGGGCGCCAGCGCCTTGATGCTCTGGGCAGGTGAGGGCGGGGCCTCGGCGCAAAAGGCGAGGCCGCGGGAGGAAGGGGTGAGGCCTCACCAGGCAAAGGGGAGGCCCTGGGAGAACAGGAGGCCGAGGCACGTGGAGGTGGGTCCGGGTCGGTTTGGCCCCGAGGGAGGGGCGGGGCCGGAGTCCGCCTCCCTTCGCAGGAGCCCTGTCCTACTTGAACCACGTGGGCATGTGGCAAGGAAGGGAGCCCACCGTGGAGTGGCAGATGAGCAACCGCAGGAGAGCCTCGAGGCGCGTGTCCAGGCAGCCGAGCTCCGACAAGTTCCGCGAGTCTGTCGTGAGGGTGTTCGGCTCCGTCAACCGGAGGGGACTCCTAGCCACCAGCAGGAGCCTGAGCGCCTCGGAAGACCCGTCGCTGGTAACCGAGGCCCCGCCCCCTTCAGCGTGACCACGCCCCCCGGCGAGGAGACTCCCCCAACTAGGGGCCCCGCCTCCCGAGGCCCCACGCCCTGAGGCAAGCCACGCCCTCCTGGGGGCGTGGCGGGCTCCAGCCCCCTAGTCCAGCGAGCCGGGGTCCCTCGGCTGGGCTCCACCCCTAGCCTGGCAGGCTCCGCCCTCAGATGCCCAGACCTCGCCCCCCACACCCCATGTTTCCAGACCCAGCTTGGTGGCATCTCGACTCCTCAGCCAAAGCCCTCCGACGGCCTTGACCCTACCGAGCATTCCACGTAGCCCCCTGGGCTGCGGAATAGACCCCCTCCTCTGCAAGGTGGGTCTCGCTCTAAGACCACTGCCTCTCGTCCTTCCCCTCTCCCCACAATAAAAAGGGGGCGCCAGCCAGCCTCTCACACTCTGCACCCTCCCTTGCTCTCCAGTCCGTCAGGGGAGAAAGCTCCTGCGCCCCTGCCCTGCCCGTCGGGGTCGGCGGCTTTCCCAGCCGGTTTCTCCACACCTGCCCTGGCCCCCGGCTACGCGCCTCGGGGCTTGAGGCTGGGGGGGCCCCAGCTTCCCCCACTGTCCCCTGAGCTTCCAGGAGGCCGCGTCTAGAGAGGCCAAGGAGGCCAGACACTGCTGCATATTCGGTTTTACTGGGGGTACGGATGGGGCGCGGGCATTCAGGGGTTGGCCGCCATGGTGTCCAGGATCCAGTCTACATACGGAAGCACTTTAGTGAAGACAGCCGGTTTGTTGGGGGTGGCGCACGTGGTGTGGCCCCATGACGTAATACCTTGCAACATGCCATCGCAGACCAGCGGGCCGCCCGAGTCCCCCTGTGAGCACACCGGGGAGAGAGGACCCGGTCAGGCCTGCGGACCCGGGCTTGCAGGCCACAGCCACTGGCCAGCTTTGGGGACCGAGACATTGTCTCCGCCCCCAGAAGAAGACAGGAGCGGATTCCAGTAGGGACGGGGGCTGGGTCCTGGCCAGCGAGGACAGGTGCACATCCATGTCCGGGTCCTGCCCAGGGGCAAGGTCCAGGAGACAGTCACTGCAGACAGCCAGTGGGAGGCTGGACAGGCTCCGTGGGCATGACCATCTCCCTCAGGGCTCCCCTCAGATGTCACCTCTGCCAGGAAGTTCCCCATGTTTGCACACCTCACCCCTGGGCTCCCAGGGAGCCACAGAAGGGCAGTGAGCAGAAGTGAGTGGGGACTGATCCACAGGGATCAGGTGGGGGATGACCTGGAGGGGAGAGTGAAGGCTGGGGAGAGGGTCCGGGGTGTGGAAGGGCCTGACCTGGGGCGGGGCAGTGGGGCGGGAAGGAGGGGCCAGGGAGTGGGGGTGCCGGATGGACCAGGCTTCAGGACTGATTCATTGGAGGGTAGGATGGACCCTCCAGGCACTGGGGAACCTGGGGTGGAGGAGGGGCAGGCTGGGTGGCAGCTACTGGGCTCAGCTGGGACCTGGTGGGTGTTCAGGGTCGGTGGGTGGATGTGGGTGTGGGTGGATGTGTGGGTGGGTGCGGTGCGGTGTGGAAGACTCCTTGCAGATGCTCAGCCGTCACTCAGGATAAAAGCCGCAGCTCCTCCTTGACTTCTCGCTGCCTCTCACTCCCCACTTGTAACTGGTCAGCCAACCTGCAGGCTCTCTTTCAACTGGTGGGAGAATCGACCCCTTCTCCCACCGCCCCTGGCCC